TTTTTGATATCACCTTTGAAAAGTCCTAACTTGCTCCATCCTCCTCCAAAGCTACTCAACAGCATGGTAATTTCTACTTAAGACTTCTTTTACAACATAGCTCACAAGCGCTTTAACATCTGCCATCCTTTCAAATTTACCAGCTTGCACGAGACCCCCTAACTGGGCTCAAATGGCCGATTGACACATTTATGCCAATATGACTGCTTTTAAGTAAAGTGGGTTGGGATGCTAGAGGGCCACAGAAGCAGATCTGTCAGCGTATCTGGTGGAGTAGTAACGGGCCAGTAACGTCCAAAGTAAGGGAGGGAGAAGAGTCACCAAGCAGCTGACAGCCTAACAGAGCCCTAAAAACCATCAGGCGCTTGCTGTTCTTCACTGACCTCTCTTATTGCATAAAAGCACCCAACATGGTAGAGCTCAGAGCTACACATAAAAATGTAGATGAAGTCACACTGCAGAAGCGAAGGAGCTGGATGATGCTCCGTTCCAAATGATCCCTCACTACAGCGGTACCCCTACAGCTTCCCAAAACCTACCTCGCTTCGCTACAGGACTTCCAGCTACTCATTTTTCTCTTCGTTGCTGATGGTTACAACTGCATTGCGACCTCATAGGAGTTTAATGAGGGCTCCACTCAAACGTGAAACACAAGGAGACAGAGCACGTAAGTCCGTGGGAGCCCCTGCCCACTCCAAAAGCAGCCCACTGCTACGTCTCTGTGCTTTCTGAACAGACGGGACCTGCAGGCAGTCTTTTGACCACTCGACAGCACTCCACTCCATTATAAAACAAATTAATTGCCAAAGTAAGATGCTACTCTTCCATAAATTTTTCTGCTGCTTATAAGGAATCAGCCAGATGGGTGACTCGACGTCTGATTAAGAATTTGTAGTGACATTATTTTGCCCTTAGAAGCCTAAAACAGCAGATTTAAATGCACATCCACGGGAAGGTAGAGAACATGTGATGATTTTCCTGACCAAACAATCTCTCGCTTCGTTTAGGCAGCTACCAATGTGGACAGCCTGTTGATCACGGATGCAAAGACAATAATTTCTTAGCACTGGCTTCTCACGTTGGATCTGTAACACTCTACCGATCAGCCGTGCTGGGCAAATCCTCGGTTTTATGACAATATGTTTCGAACCCTCTGAAAGCTTTCAAGACAATTTTGTCCGACTTAAGGATACATTTCTCTAATGCAACAATTTTATTGCTGATCCTGTAGGAGTTTGCTCAAGCTAAGTACTTCTGCATGTGTGTTTTTCCCAGGAAGCTGCAAGCATTAATTTCATGCCGTTGCCAACTTTAAGATATCCAGAAATCAATGTCAAAATCATACATTTTCCAACTTTTCAGAAACGATTCTTCTAAAAATCACTGCGGAGGACTACAAGACTCTCTTTATATTAATTAGACGACAAGATCTAAAAAAGCCTGTGGTAAAGTAACTCAAGTTCAGACACTTGCACGAGTCCCACATACGCAGGGATGTTAAATATTCTTAGAAAAGTTGCAACATGCAGCACCTCAGAACTCTTAAAAAGCTGCAGAGAAAAGTCAATGGATATTGTAATAACTAAGCAAATTTAGCAGTAGACTTGTGATCTACCAGGTATTTGTTGAATAGGAAATAAACCAAAGCAGCTAGTTATGTGTTGCCTAGCTGCAGACTAATATGAATAGTTTCCCTGCAGGTAAATCACCTTCTATTACTTCTAAGCACCCCAGGAAAAATACTAATTGAAAACACAGTTCTAATACTGTCCAGCTGGAAGACATTAGCTTAGGATGGAACTAGCTTGATACTGGCTGCCAATTGGCTATGCACAATGGAAAAGGGAATTAATCTCTTGCAGACAAGGCTTCCCATTTTCCACTTCTCCTTTGTAACCCTCAGATACGTTTGTTATTAACCAAAGGCTTTGATTCACACGGGGAAAGAAAAACATCAATGCATTTATGATAATCCAAGTCTGGATTTCTTGTATGAACATGAAAGCTTTCAAATTATTGACACAACGAACTACCGACTTACAGTCCAACAGCTTACTGACGTTTCTCTTCACTCTCTCCTTAGCTAACAGTTGAGGAATAGGTAAACAGACAAAGCAGAACAGATGTAAAACAAAAAGGAAAAAGCAGATCCACACCTCTGAATCAGCCTAGCCCGTCTTCCTGCACCTCCCTCCTGCTACAAGTTATTATCCCATGCAAGTGGAAAAGGGCTGGAGGGAAAAAATGGAAGTTGACCCCATACACATTCAGATCGCCTTTTCCTTTCTAGTGAGATTCATTTCCATGCATCATCCAACATTTTACTCTACAGCCTGGGCTATCTCGGAAGGGTCATTCCCCCAGTTCCTCACAAGCCACAGGCGCCCGTCTCTTGTCCTCTTCTCCAGGCTCTTTCAACCTTGCTGAAAGACTCCAGACTTCTTTTTGTTTGGTTGGTTTTTTTACATGCTCCTATCCCCTATCCAATTTCTACAAGATACAATTAAGAGAAAAAAAAAAAAAAACTGAAATTTTAGCTACTGTCCTTATCACGGAAAAGCATCCTTATGCTGCATCCATGTCTACCAGGAGATACCTTACCCGCTGGGACAGCAGCCCACCTGAATGCTCCCTTATTGGCTTGAGGTTACTGCAAACGCTTTTTGCTCTTTGTCTGAATTAGGACTATTTCACTTCTGCCTGAGGTGGACGAAGAAAAGTTCGTATAAACTGCTTTGCTGACATATCAGTGCGGAGGGTAATTAGCAGGTGGTAACAATTTCTGGATCTGAAAAAAGGACATCTGTCCACCGTCTTACTCATTATGCTTAAAAACGGCTTCTCCATCAGTCCTTGAGTAATTTAAGGAGGTCAGACAAGTGAGATAAAGACGAATTCCTGTCTGCGCTGCTATCTATGGAAATACTTCAAAAGAGAGAGTTCAATTTTCATCTAATCAAAAAAGAAGCTGAGAAGAAAACAAAAAGCAGAGAGGTAGAGAGGAGAAAGCAAAAAACAAAGCTCAAATGAAAAAAAGGGCAAGCACTGAAGTCAAACAAGAAGAAAAATAATGCTCCAGTCAGGGAATAAGAGAGCCAAAGCTGGTATCTTCTCTATAGTTTTGTAGATCAACTTGTCAGAAAGACCAAAAAGTTCGGGACAGCGTTGTTTTGGCCTAATCCTACAGGAGAGCTGCTTTTGGTTAGCTTATTTCTAGAAAATTAATTAAATAATGAAAAGAGGGGAAGAGGAAGTGCTCACAGGAGAGCTGGTTTCATACAGCTTTTAACTCATTGACACGTAGTTTTTCCATTCAAGTGGCAAGTACCGAGACCAAGTTTTCCTCTCCGTCCATCCTTCCTTCCCATCACATTAATTGACCATGTCAATTTAGGTCAGACTGTAAAGCCTACAAAAAGTTACAGAAGAATTTTAATAAATCATACCAGCTGGGACTTTTTAAAATCTGTTTTGAGTTCTACAAGGACCTTCTCTTCATACTGTTTGTGATCTTATTCCTTCAACATTAAAAAAAAAAAAAAAAGTAAAGAGCTGTACTACAGACAAGTCAGCAACCTGTCATTTTTTCCCCTTACATTAACAAAACCAAGAGGAACATTTGTAATTAAGTGTGCGGTACATATATGAAACAGGTCAGCAGGTGAAAGTAAGCAACATCATTATAAATATATTGATAGTACCCTGGTGAAATTAAGCCCATCTGTCACACTACTCCACCAGTATCATATCTTCATAGTATATTGCTGCTGCCTATCCCTTAAAATACTTCAGTGTTCACAGAGTTGTTGAACTGACAGCTTTAAAGGCTCAAGTCAACAACTAATCCACCAACCAGACATCCTGCAGCCTACAGAAACATCAGTCTCGAACGGCAGCCCCGCAAACATGCCTCCATCCTGATGGCAACATCCATCCACATCACGTGGCTTTTTCAGTGAAACAAGGAGGCTCATTCCAATTTGCTGGGCGACAGCCCGATTTTACAAGCACATATTTCAAACGAGGTCTTGGCGAACCATTAGCAGCTAATGATTTCCAGTATCTATCATCCCCATAAGAAAACACAGAAATTATAAAAACTTCAGGAAAAGGGAGTGCTCCGGGTTCAAATGGAAGTCAAGGGGGAGTGCAGTCACCCAGAACCTCCTAGGGGAGGTTCCCAAGGGGCACGTCAGCTCGGTTGTCCAGTCATTCAATTAACCCAAGTTAATCGATGCCTTGGCAAATTTTGCTTTCTTTTCTCTCTGCGCCAGGGTTCACATCTGCAAAACAGGGACAGAATCTCCTGACTTCAGCGAGAGGTAACGATGATTAATTTGTGAAGCACTCAGATAGGGGGCAATCACGGGAATCATTCATCTTGGGACAAAAGGGTCTCAGGTTCTTAACTTGCTCTTTTAGTAAGATTCTTTCTTCTTTAGTGAACGCATCACACCAAAAATATCTTTTGATTCTTTGTTCTCCTTTTAAATATGATTTTCCTCAACCTACAACATACCTTGGCATAAGACAATGATTTCTCCATGCTCCTGTTTGTGTATCACAAGATGCATTGGAACATATTTGTATCAAGAAATATGTCGATACTGTCACAGGACACAGACACAATCATATTCCTCTCTGCTTTGAGAGATCACAGAAAAATGGTTTCTATTCGCAGCCCCTATAGCTATTTCTAGCCAAATGTTCTGCTCTGCAAAACTGCATTCTTCTCTATTACAAGGCATAAAAACTAACAAGGCAAGCAAAAAATATCATACTCTACAAACAATATAACTTTTATCTAAACCCTAAAGTTGTAAAGGCATACCTGAAGGAATAAAATTAAGTGAAAACAAGATCTGATGGCTTTCCCAGACCTATAGTTTCTTACCGGCAGATAACAAATAGCAGATTTTGCATTGCTGCATTAAGCACAGTTTAAAACGAGCATTGGCGAGTAATTACGGTGAGGACCATCCTAAAGCACCAGCTCTCACCTTTATGCTTCCTCCAATGAGATCAGGCGGCTCCTCATCTGTTTCTAAGGCAACGTTGATGGAGGCAAAGGGGCGACTTGCCATCTGTTGCATCTCACGCAGCAGTTGCTAATTCAATAAGCAGAAAAATATTATCACCACATTGTTCCAGCACAAAGATGAGTTAACGCGTATCCCAGAGGCTTTACCCGATACGAAGGGATAGCAATGAATAAGGAAGAATAAATAACCTGCCGGTGGTTTAGCAAGCTCAAGGGTGCAAATGGATAACTGTAGACAATCTCATCACCATAGCGCAACAAGCTATTGCGAGTTAAGCTGAACAGCATAGTCTTAGCTTAACCCAGATGTCAAGTAAACCACATCTGCTTAAGTTTCCAGGAAGCACTAACTTCTCAAGCTGGAATACGCTAGTTGTTGGTCATCATCTCCCTGCGGCATGAGACGACTTCATAGGATTTGCGAAGACAAATTTAAAATTAAACCAGCATCAATATCTGGCAGTTAACCACCTTAAGAAAGAGCTTGATGTTTTTATAACACCACTAGGAGATTGATGTCAGGTAGCTACTGAATAATCTTTTTTTTTTTTTAATTGTTTGCAGCACACGCAGCGAGCTACATGCATGTCCTTGCTGTGATATGTTTTTATTAGAACGCAAAACATTTTCCCAGGTAAATCTCTGCCTGCCCTCATGACACAAGGCACCTTTTACTGTATCCTTATGGCACTTTATGATGCAGCTCCCTTTTTAATACGAAAAATGACACTTCCTATCTGGCCATGCTGGAAAAAGCACTTCAGTTTCAGCGGAGCTGCGGCCGCACTCCTCTTTGGTTTCAGCAGCTAATCCCTAACACTAACAGCAAGCTGCACAACCAGTAATTGGATGCAGAAGCCACAACTGTAATTCCCAGAAGCAATGGGTGCGATGTGACTCACTGTCCCTGTTTAATAAAGGAAGAAACATATCCCCTTGCATATCTGCTTTAAAAAAACAAAAAAAACCCACAGCATTCACTCCTTAAGTGTAGCGTATTGACTAAACCCTTCAGTTCACACGCTGTAGAGCACACAGCATTATCCACTTGCTGTTAATACTTAACTGCAACACTATGAGCTACACTCTTATTATTCTGAGCTAGACTGAGACACTGTCAAATGCCCTACATACATAGCGCTTTCCCCTTTTAAAACTGGGTACTTTGATAATTCCAAGCCCTATCTGACTATTTATAGCAGTGAAAAGGTGCTAAACACCACAAAATGCACTGTGCCTCCAGTAGTCTAGGGAAGATGGACAGCACAGAAGAAGAAAGAAGCTGCTATCCAGAGTGCAAGTTGTTTGGGCAAAACTAAGTGTATCATCGTTTTCTGGAACTCACAAACCTTCTGCTTTCTTCTCTCTGCCAAGTTACCTTTTGCTATTCTTCTGTGCAGAAAACTGAGACACTGTTCCTCTAATCCTGCAGTTCAGGTAAGGTGGCAGGGATGCACGATAGCATCGATACAACTAAGGCTGGATGGGTCTATAGCCTCTAGGATTCTCAGTCCAATAAAACAAAAAAATTCACTACGTTAGGCAAACAATAAAGTTTTGCTTAATCTCTGAAAGATCAAAAAAAGAGGAGTATTTCAGAGCAGATTGTAGATACTGTCACAAAGGAAAAAAAAAACTCAAACCCAATAAATTCACACAAACGTAGTAAGCATTTGCAAGCAAACTTGCGTGGACCTCACACTTGGGCAAAAGAACTCAAGGAGTTTTAGAGTATTTAAAGCACCCCAGCAGATTGCAAACTAAAGCAAGCGTGAAACAGATTGCCGGGTTGTTGTTCCCGCAATTGTCCCCTTCAGCTATCATAAAGCGCTTTGTTTAATGGCTATAAAAATCAAAAACAAGCTGTCCTGATGAAGATGTCCAGAAGACTTACGAACTAAAAGCTATTAGCTCTTTGAAGCAAGTTTAGTTTGCTAAGGAGAACGTGCAATTTGGCAACGTGACACCTACTGAAGTCAACAGTAGCTTCAAGAAATAAAATCCCAAGCAGCGCCGTGAAAACAGAGCTGCCTCTGAGTGCGACGACATCAGAGACGGGAAAAGCAATGCTGACGGAGACGTTATTGCCTTCCTTTTCTGATCTGCCAAGACAGCTGCCTCTCAGCATAACAGCGGCCAGTCCAGGCAAAATTAAAGGTCCATCTCACCTAGCATCCCATGATTCAGGAAGCAAAGGCCTAGGGAAGAGGTATCTTTTTTCTTACACTGGTCCTGGTATAACAAAAGTCACGTTACAAAACAAAT